ATCAGTGGAGAAAGAGAATATGACTGGATTTATTATACATATTTACCAAACCATGGAATACTGAAATTACAATTATTTAAGTAACACCAAACACCGAGTTCCAGTATATTACATAAACTGGTGTACTTTGTTCTTTTCTAATCAGACTGGCAAAACTGTTGCAGTATTATTTTAGTAGTTGAATTCATGGGTCAATCTAAGCTAAACTACCACCGAAAACCTGAAAGCACTGGATGTCCGTTGCCTCTAAGTATGGGACTCATCAGCAGTGCGCATCCATTACCTCACACGTGGGACTCGAACCCAAGATTTTTGGTCACGCGCGCAAATCACCGAGCCGGCGTCCAACGATGTTAATGTCTAGCTCGAAAAAGTCTCCAAAAATTGTAGGAACTCAAAGTTTATGTATAGTCTTTGATTTCTAGAAAACAAATAATCATAAATAAGAGCTTTACTTATATTATCAACTACTGGGTTGTTGGAGGCTCAGAATTCAGATGGATCATGAGAATCGAGAAGCCAGTTGGGAAGTCATTGTCACAGGTATTAAGCTGTAGAATTTACATTCATACTCTACATGAACTTACTGAAATCTTACCATCGAATTGTCTGAGTCCAAACTAAACCTTTCATCGCTTAGTATTATAACCAACTTATCACTAGATACAGACCCGTGTACTTGGTCTCAAACCACGCTTTAAGTGTGAAAATTAGTAGTAGTAATCATTTTCCCAAACTGAAGTAGGTGGGCCACAGTTCGAACCTGCAATCTATTGACTGAAAGTTCAATGCCTTAACCACTGATCCATAGCTTACATAAATCAAAACTTTAAAAAAACATGAGATAAAACAAAATCAAAGTAAAATGATAACCCATTTCCTTTAAATCATAACAATGAAACATATAAGTAAATAAACGAAAACATATACGGAGAGAATAAGGTTCACAAACAGAATGTAAACAATTCAAAGTACCACTAATCAGTTATAGTGTATGATAAATGAAAGAAAAATTAATAATACAATTAACTAGTCGCCAACTCATGTATATTATAACTGTGATGAATAAAACAATGATTTGTGCTACCTGTACGACAGTGCAAACAATTCGTGTAGGACTTAAATATCACTTACATTTTTGGTTTTTTAACAGTCTATAATTAAACGATATTACAGTTACTTCAGTCTAACAACTAGGTGTTCACTTTTTCTATGTTGACAAAAATAAATCGCTTCACTTATACACAACTGATTGGTTTGGGGACATGTCTAGGGTGGCCTAAACAAACATCCTGGACAAAAAAATGCAAAGATAGTAAAAGTTAGATTTATGAAAATTACAGTCGGTCAGCTACAACGTAGGACCAGACACATATATGCATCGGTCCAAGATGTCATACTTCATTAGCACAACAAGATGAACGCCAAATTCATAGAAGCAGTTACTCCAGTGTTAGCAATATCTAGAAAAAAGATTGCATATAAGGATATAATACAGGGAGAAAGAATTAGATCATAGTAAGAGAGGTACAAAGTAATGTTAATCTCACGATTTAAGTAAACTTGAAGAGCGTATACACCTAAGCCATTGTGATCAATTGTGAGCCATGTCACTAAGAGTCTCCAACCATTGGTTACGATAGTCGCACAGACCTTAATCAAGTAGTCTGCATCTGCCAACATGGCTCATACCTGAAATTAGGGAACTTATGGGTTGCTAACACGTTTTGGTTTGACCACCCTCAACTTTCTTCCAGTCATCCCTAACACTAGTCAGTATTGCGCGTCGTGGTAATCGGTGTTCAGCCATACGTATAACACGTGTCTCAACCATCTCAGTCGATGAAGATTCACAACTTCATCAACTGACTTACCATCATTTCTTAATACCCTGTGTCTAACCTCACTATTACTTACCATGTGATCCTAGCAGATGCGAGAAATATTTTTCAGGCATCTGTGATCACATAATAATAGCTTACGTGCATTTTCTACTCTTAAAAGCCACCTTTCGCACCTGTGAAGTAAAACAGAACGAACTGCTGCGCAGTATACTCGTCCTTAAATTGATAGACGGATCTCTCCTTTGCCATAGGTGACGTAAGTTGACAGAAACATGTGAAGACTGCTAACGGTTCTATGAAGAAAAATATTGTAAGACAGAAAAAGATGAATTAAAGTTTTAAAAGTTACATCCAAGGAGGCAGCCATATTTGAATTTTGTACTGGGAAGAAAACAAGAAGCTTATTATTAGGGGGAAACAATGGAACAAAACTTCATCATGGAACACGACACACCAGTATGAATAAGTTATTTTGTTAAAAAATTTCTCACTAGTTAAATATCACTGAACCATTTATTTTATCTGAAACTGTATTCAGGTAATCATTTAGTGAAAATATCCATTATCTTACCATAATTTCATCCACAACCATAAACAACTCCACCACATATGGCTGTGATTCACCGGGACGATGGAAAACATGTAATGTATCCAAAATTGACTGGAATTTATAAAAAGAAACAAATCGTAGCAAAGAATGAGAACAAACCTCATTGTAGTGAAAAGATTTACATATCGTCAAGTACACACGGTTGCTTTTAAATCTTTGATGTATCAAAGTCCGAGAGATTCTAAGATGCATGTATAGAGGGTTGAGAACAATCACGGTAAATCGTTGCCTATTATTTTTAAATCAATAAAAACTGATTGTACCGATTGCCATTTGAACAAATATACCAGGGAAATATGCTTTTTTAATGAGCATACTATTGCATAGTTCTTTTAACTATATGATATTTTATGAAAGTGACCTTACATCTACTATGGGAAAGTTTTATACTTTCAATCCTAACGTAACTATTTCAAGTAAAATACTTTGATCTTTTGTAAGTGCAATCTATCACGATTATGCACTATTCAGTTTTCTGACCACATCATATTATTGAAATTTATAGAAATTCATCTATTTCATTCAGTAGTGTATACTACAATGCTCTAAAATAATTACAATAGTTCATTAATAATAAATTTTGAAATTTAATATTGTTTTATGCTTTTTATTCATTGATGATATTGGTTATTTTTGAACTATTCTTCTACTGTGGTGTGTGCTACTGATGTCGACAGATATAAGTAGTATATATTATCAGTCCAAAGTTGAATGCCTCACGGTAGAACGTTGCAAATATAGAGGAGAAGAGAAAGATAACAGAGAGTGATTGGTGTGGAAACGAAGGAACAACAAAGTTTGAAACAATTGTTAGATATTCTGCAAATTAAGTCTTACTATATGGTTGTCGGATTTTACCAAGATATTCCGTAATATTGAGTTAAAACACATTTGGTTGTCCCCACTGGTTTTCTCGTTCACTACAATACTTACTGCCAATGGTAGTTCAACTCAGTTCTCTTCTATCATATTCATATGCTTCAATCGTATTACTGGTAATGTAGTATGAGAAATGAGATTAATGAATATCTGTGTCAAGTTCAACATTGGTACTGACTGATTGTATAAATACAATCACCTAATATATATTGATTATATCGTCCATAATCAAATGGTGGAGCAAGCGATTATGTAAGTAAAAACATATGAATATATTATGTTATATTTTTGAACACGTGAGGACTGATTACTTCATATGTTGTACAACATGTGAATTACTTGTTAATTATAACCAAATATTAGCGAGTTTTATTTTTTTTTTAATACACAATACTACACAGATACACCATACATATAAATATTAGAGTACTTACGGTATTTGTCATTGATATAGAGGCTGTAATCAGAAAAGATATTATGGAGAAACAAAAAGTACACGTTTGATTAGTAACACTTCACTTTCGGTGATAGCAAATTACTTTTAAGTGAGAAATTAATATTAACACTTATTAAAATATCTCACTAATTTATTTCCCCATTATATTATTACAAGGAAGTGATTATTTCTTTTAGTTGTTAAATGGTTACAGATAAAAATAAGAGCATCTTGTAACACGTTGATAAATCAACATTTACTAAGTACAGGTTTATTTAAACTGAGCTTCAATTGCATAAGAGTTATTAATCGGTTTTTTCAGCACAATCATATGAAACGGAGTTTGAACTAGCAAATTACTACTGATTGTAAACTGATCACTATCATAACTTGAAAATGAGTAGATGAGCTGCGGGTAGACGATAAATAACTAACAACATAATTGCATTATTCGCCTTGGTCGATCGCCCTAGTCAATTTGTCCCGAATTATCTGGGAGTAAATTCAGTGAATTGAATAGTCAAAAGACTTACACAATTATTCTTTTATTCTTGTGGTTAAATGTACGTATTTCAGATTTTTTAAGTTATCTCTGAAATGTTACTTCTAGCTATTTATTAGTATAGACAAAATCATACTGGCTTTCTAACAAGCCTTTTAATTGAAGGCTAAATTTCGTTCCTAAGCTCTTCTAGTAACCCCCTGTTGGGGACGTTAGATCGCCAGATTTCACTTAGAAAAGGTCCTAATTTTGCAATTTTATTTTGAAACTTTGAATTCTATGTTTTCGCGTCGAGACCTACAGCTTACATCTCGCACTCGGAAATCCTTAACTGTCATTGGTTGACGGACTTTTTTAGTACGCTATTTTGTGGCTCTCCCGAGGGCGTTTCTATCATTGTATAAATAAGCTTGATTTGTGTGCTTAGTGATCGCGTATTTTCTGAGTGCTTGTAGAATACATTCTCTACGCCTCATCAAGACTTCTTGATCTAGTTAGCAGGGCCGGGGACAACGAATTAAAATAGTCTATCGTGTCACTGTATGTTTGACCTTCGTTTCGTTTACCGAATAAGGTGAACTCGTAATAGCACTCAAGCATATCACCCCCAAACTAAATCTACACAGCGACCTGAACACGAGATGAAAGGCGCGAAATATGGAAGAAACGCTTTACTCTAAGATTCGTTAATGTACTGTTAGGTTTGAAGCTTCACGGGTTCACTTAGACTGCGAACGAGAACAATACTCAATGACCAAAGACCAGTAATCTAACTATTGACGCGTCCCAGCCCCGCTAACTAGAAGGAGAAGTCCAGGCTTGGTATGGAAAATATATTCTGCATACAACCAGAAACGAGCGAGCAAGCAAGCAAGCAGCAGCAGCGAACAGTAGCGAACGAACAGACCCAAATTAAACGTATATATATAAATATATAAAATCGATATTGTCATATTAAATGTTATTTTTAAACATGACTCATTCAGTTCATCACTCGACAGGCATTCGAATATTTAGTCGATAAGTTCATCATGTGACTTCCTTCCAAATATTTAATCGATGAGTCAATCGATATGATAAAATTACAAATATGAATTTTGGGAATATACCGTCCCAACACTCCTCCCCTTTTTAATAGCGTGCTTTTCTGGGGTCGACTTGCATTTTGACTGTAGTTCGCCGCTGACGGAGAGGCCACCTTCTGGGACGGGGATCAGCTTGCTGTCGAGCTTCTTGTGATGGGGCTGCAGGTAAGTTGAAAGTATCAAGCAAGATGTCGAGGGGAAGATTTACTCCATTTGATGGGTGGTCTGGGGCAATCCGCTTACGTAGTTGGTTTCGGTGTCTAGTCCACGTGTCTCTTCCCACCTTTACCTCGTACATAACTTGACCTAGTCTTCCAACCACACGTGCTTCGATCCAAGGACCATGATTTGCTCTGTAGTCTCGAGCGAACACAGGGCATCCAACCTCGTACGCTGGAAGCTTCTGAGATTTGGTATGGGATGGTGGTGGTGTGGTTCTTGGGCACATGAGACTGTGGATCGTCCTCAATTTCCTTCCCATCAGGATCTCTGCCGGGGACTTCTGCTGTGGTAGCATATCATTAGGTGTTGTTCGGTAAACAAACAAGAAATTCTGCAGTGTTTCTACTGTCGTCCCCTCCCCTTTCGACTTCATTAGAGCTCTCTTGAATGTATCTACAAATCTTTCTGCTTGTCCATTTGACTGTGGGTGATAAGGTGGAGAGCGGAAATGCTTGATCGATAGGCGTTTGCAAAATTCTTGAAATTGACTTGAAGTGAATTGCGAACCATTATCGGAAACAATTATATCCGGTAATCCGTTGCGAGAGAACATCTCTGTCAAAAGTTGTATCGTTTGAGTTGTCGTTGGTGGTATGACGGGAACGATTTCTGGCCATTTCGAAAAGGCGTCAACAACGACTAGATAGGTAATTCCATTAATTGGACCTGCGAAATCGACATGTATCCTGGACCAGGGATACTCAGGCTGTGGCCATGGGACCGGCAGTATTTTCGCGTTACACTTGGCTGCTTGCTGACACTGTGCGCGGTCCTCTGTCAATAGGGAGGCAATAACTGCATCTTCGCCGGCCGTATGATGTTCGCTGGTCGAAAACTCCGTCATTGGTTCTTTCGAATATGCTTCAGGTTCATGAGGTTGTTCAACCAGATGGCATACGGTGCTTAACGGAACGTCAGCTAAATGTAGCTGGTCATACCAGTCTAACCCAAGTAGATTAAGATTAGCTGGTGTGATGTAACATAACCCGGTAAACGTCGAATCATGAAAAGACACTTTACAATCTAGTTGTCCCAACAAACGTAGATAATTACCACATGCGGTTCGCGGTTTTTGTGTTGTCGGCACCAGGCGTGGCCTTCCCATTCTGATCCAAAATTTTCGTGAGAGAATCGTTACATCAGATGCAGTGTCTATTTGCGATCTAAGCGGGTGCCCATTAATATTAAGGGTAATAAATTTCCTCTCAACTGGGGTTGAGTTCTCACAGCTTGCTATTAGACTCAACGAATTCGTGTTGGATCTAGGCGTAGGTTTTCTGGTACCTCTGGAGTTGCTCGGCTTCTTTTTTCGACAAAAACCATCTTTATGACCCACCACATTACATTTCCTGCACCGATGTTGCTTATATGGACAGTATCGAACAAAATGCCATGCACCGCAGTGCCAGCATGGAGCAGGAGGATTTGTTTTTGTCTGTCGACCTGAACTAGATGTAGCTGGGGCAGATTTATGCGAGTTGAGTGGTTGTTGGACTACATGAACTTCGGTACGATTTGAACCACCACGCTGGACCATTGTAGTATCACGCTATAGATTGATTAGACGTTGATATTCATTTGCAATATCATTAAGAGTTAGTTTTGGGTCTTGGTCCAATCGACTTAGCAAACGTGTTCTAATGTCACTGAACTTCTGCGATTGAAGGCTGCAGATGAGAATGAGTGCTTTAAATTGATCTTCAGTAAGCGACTTCAATCGGAAACGTTCACATTCTCGGTTGACAATACCCACATGTGTGAGAAAATCATCATCTTCGTTCATAGTGAGCTTCAAACATCGATAGCGCGCATTGAATAGTGAGGAGTTGTCTCCGAATTGTTGGCTCAATGACTGGACAGTGTCGGAGAATGAACGATCGCGTGGGTTTAAAGGCAGAATTAGATTGCAATACTTGTCTAGTTCACTAGGACCCAACTTTCGAAGCAGCAAGCGGACCTTCCAAGCATCATCCTGGTTGGCAAAGTCAAATTTGAATAAGTCTTCGTAACGTCGAAACCACATATCAAACGTGACATTGGATTCTGGATCGTAATGAAACTCGGAGATACTGTTAGCAATACCATCAACTGACGGTGCAGTAGTAATAGGATTAGAACTGCTTGGTTGAGAATTAGATGTAAGCTTTGCATCTGCTAACATTTGAATAAGTTTCATCTGCTGCTCGAGTAATAATTCAAGTTTAGATGGATCCATATTTCCGCAATCACCGTCGCCAAATTGTAAGTTTGAAGCTTCACGGGTTCACTTAGACTGCGAACGAGAACAATACTCAATGACCAAAGACCAGTAATCTAACTATTGACACGTCCCAGCCCCGCTAACTAGAAGGAGAAGTCCAGGCTTGGTATGGAAAATATATTCTGCATACAACCAGAAACGAGCGAGCAAGCAAGCAAGCAGCAGCAGCGAACAGTAGCGAACGAACAGACCCAAATTAAACGTATATATATATAAATATATAAAATCGATATTGTCATATTAAATGTTATTTTTAAACATGACTCATTCAGTTCATCACTCGACAGGCATTCGAATATTTAGTCGATAAGTTCATCATGTGACTTCCTTCCAAATATTTAATCGATGAGTCAATCGATATGATAAAATTACAAATATGAATTTTGGGAATATACCGTCCCAACATGTACAGAAAATTTAGGGTTTCCACGGTGTTTTAGATGACCTTGAGTTTCTGGTATATTCTGGAACGTTACTAAACGTAGTAGCAGTGTAGGTAATCATCCAATCAGAAACTCGACATGTGAATTTTCATTTTTTAGATTTTTCTAGCAAAGCTTCTGGTGAATGCGGATTGAATAAGATGCTTCTAATAGTTTTCAGAGCCTTTGTTGACTTTTTTCGAGGAGTTTTCTGGATCTCCCGAATATTTTCTTGTTAATTATTCCTTGTAGTTTTGTTTGTGAAACCTGGAAATATTTTAAGTCGTAAGTGGTCTCTGCGAGTTCCCCTTGTGTTCGAAAAATTACCTTGTATTTATTTTCTTCCACAAATTCATTATGCCTCCCTAAGTTACGTTTTTTATACCCAATCTTTTCTGCTAACACTAATGCTGTTACCGTATGTACTATACTGAAATCTTACCGTATTACTGGGGTAGTGGGATTTCAAACCAATACACATATATCCCAGATTCTATGTTGCATACGACTAACTGATTTAATTCAATATTTAAATGTTATGATTCAATACATGGTGTATTTGAAGTAACTGCGTTAGCTGATTATTTCTAAGCGATAATACCTTGGTTTGTAAGATAAATAAATTTTAATATCACAATATGTAAATGATTTTAACGATTGGCAACGAATTAATCTTAATTGACTATAAATCTAAGGTAAATAAAAAATCAACTGATCATTATTTATCACGAGTAAAATAAGTCAAAATATATCTTCAATATATGCCACAATTTAAAAATTTGTTATTATCATTATTACTTTGATTGTAAATAATTTGATAAACAGAGTGTAGTAAGGTAGTTTTTCTCAGACATTTTTTCTCAAATCAACATTATTGTTGTGCCCCAATGTAGTAAACACATGATAAGTGACAATTTTGCATAAATTATTTTACGGATAGAGTTAATTACATTTATTCACGTGAAATTATGAATATTGTATACTTAGAGATATGTAACTCAACAACTATTTTACAAGTCTTCACATTTTATACACCAATAAATTCGAATGTGTGTTCAACTTAGAGTTGTATTGTTTGAGTAACGGCTAATGTGATAATATTCGGTTATCGAAATCAAAGTATGTGGAGCGAAATCCGAATATACTACACAATAGATGAAGTTTAGGTAAGATGAACGCTTAGCCGCTGTATGATCAGTCACTACATTATGAACTAAACAGCTATTTTATACGAGTTAATGAAAGCTCACTTCTGTTATTCAAAGCTCATGAGAAACTACTGTAGTGGACGCTACTCATAAGAATGTTTGTAAGTAGTGTGTAGCGGGACGCGATATCGGCGTTGCAACAATTGTCGGATAGAGTGAAGAGTTTTAGTGCATCAAAGGCACAGTGTTGGCAGGATACTTGGAGGCCAGTCAAGAGGAAACTTCAGACCGCAGAAAACACCACAAGATCCAGATGGACGATTAAAGGCTACGTATATGTATTACGTAAAAACTTTATAACTTCTCGCGGTGGACATACATACCTCCTGCCTATAGTCGTATTTTACATTACATTGAATTAGGACGTCTAAGCAATATGTTGAACCGTTCAATATGACCATAATATTTATATTCCTGACTTAAAATTGATTTCAAAATGTTATTTCACTGATAAAACTTGTTTGCATAAGGCAATACAAAAACGAATTTAGTTTCCTCTGAGCTGAATTATCTAATCGTAAAGGTTTTATTGTAATTCTAGGCAGCATCAGATAATAAAAGCTTCACGACTGAACAACCAACCTCAGAAAGAACACAATATTTCATAAATCCTTCTTATTTCAAACTACAGATCTTTTAGAGTGAATTAATATTATGAATAGGTGAAAATTAATAGTATTAGCCACATAATTACTCTTGAGATTTCCCCCCTCGAAATGCAAAATGTTGCTTCAGGATTGGGTTACATCGACACCCGAACTAATGATAGGGAGTGAAGTAGTTGAGTGTGTCGACCGCTTCACTTATCTTGGAAGTCTTATCAGCCCTTGTGGTCTGGTATGTGACGAAATCTCAGCACGGATACAGAAGGTACGATTAGCTTTTGGTAACTTGCGTCATTTACGGCGTAGGCGAGATATCCGTCTGTCAACCAAAGGACGGGTTTACTGTGCAGCAGTTCGTTCCGTCCTACTTTATGGCAGTGAAACATGGCCGGTAAGAGTAGAGGATATTCGTAGGTTACTAGTATTTGACCATAGGTGTCTTCGAAACATTGCTCGTGCATCCTGGGACCATCGAGTAAGTAACGCATTTGTTAGGAAACGGGTACTAAGTAAGGATGGCAAATCAATTGGTGAAGTGATGGAACTACATCAGTTGAGATGGCTGGGACACGTGTTACGTATGCCCAACGACCGACTGCCTCGACGTGCGATGTTCAGTGGTATAGGAGTAGGTTGGAAGAAAGCAAGGGGCCGCCAGACCAAAACATTGCACAAGTCCATGAAGTCACTAACAAGTTGACTGAGCAATGTTGGTAGGTGTAGACTACCTGATTGGGGACCGCGAGATGATAGCAACCGATGGTTAGAGACCCTGAATGACATGGCTCAAAATCGCTTGCAATGGCGCAGGTGCATCCACTCTTTGTGTTCTCCCAAATCCTAATCTTCTGAATTCTTTGTCCCTTTCTTCCTCTTTTCGAATTTATTTCACTGTATTATACTCCTCGAATAACATTTTCAAACCCTAATCTTTCCGATTACTGCTTATACTTGTACTACTTCTACAACTATAGGATTTGAATCGACCACTGCATCTCTGTGCTAACGTGGTGTGGCAACTCGAACTGATGTACGCACGTACGAAGTTCTACGTTGTTACTGACTGACTGAACACTTTTTACGCAAAATATCTTTCACAATGATCATTTAAGTGAATTATATTTTTTGAAGGTGGTTATTTTTATCACGAATTGAAATCTTTTCACAATTAATCATTTTCATTGAATTTAAATATAAAGTTTCCATACCTAGAGTTTTCAAATTCGGTATATAAACTTATTGAAGTAATCAATTGCCAAGGTGACTTGTTTTACCTAAGCTCTTGGTGAACATAGACCTTAAAACTAACCCAAAACTGTCACATATCGTTCAAGTCAATCCGAAGTGAATTTAATAATCATTGTGGACTTTTTGTTACTCATATTATGTAACATAGTTTGATCTTAAGGACAATCCTAGAAAAATACGTTAGAGGATATATATAGGCATCTGTGAATTAAGTTCGTCAGAAGATGATTGCGATCGGGGTTTCATTGAAAATCGGGGAGTACCAAACAGATGTTTTAATCTGGTACGGAATCCCGACCTAGGACCTTCGGATCTTGAGGAGACTGTTTAACCACTAGTCAGTGGTTTGGCGTTCAATAACACAACTCTGACCTCAGTTAATTTTAGATACAGCGCAACGATCATTCAATGGAACTGGTGACAATTGCTTCTCTCCCGGAACGTTGTTTTACAAATCTTATTCTTCTCGCCTTATTTCAATTTGTCAAGAGATTACCATGTCTGAAATATCCTGGGTATCTTTCGATCCTCTAAGTTAAAAGAAAACAGTTTCAGTGTTTAAAAACATTAGTCAGTCATACTTAACGTAGCACATTGGATATATTTGCACCGGTTTAAGTTCCCATTTTACCACATTATTGTAGTAAGATGCCTGAATAGTACATACGGTAACAGTATTGGTGGTAGTAGAAAAGATTGGGCATAAAAAATATGACTTAACAAGCGATTTTGAGGATGTTTGATCCCCAAAAATCACTTGGTAAACATTCTGTTTTCGTAATTTTATTTTGGAAATCTGAATTTCGTTTTCTCGCGCCAAAAGCCCCCATTTTTACCTTTAGATTGTATTTCCCACTTGGAAGGACCTTAAATGTCATTGGTTCGTCCCCTCTTTCAATAGATTATTTTGTGACGATTCCCAATAACCTTTTTTATACCGTATATATACGCTTGGGTTGTGCCTGTTGGTTTTTGATTCTGGTTGCATGAGGAATATTCCTTTCCCTCATCTGAACCTGGTCTTCCCTACTAGTTAACAGGGATGGGACGCATTAGAATAGTTTGACTTGTCGTTCCGTTCGCCGATTTTGTAATCTTTTCAAACATATCAGGGATAATGAATTAGTGAAATAAGAAATGTATAAAATAATTTCGAACCTCAATAATTAATGGAAGACAAAAAGTGAACGGATTCAAACCGTTGGGAACCATTTCACCCAATGTCTTACCATAGGTTACGATAATCGCGTGGAACCCAACCAGATAGTCTAATACTTATAAATGAGGCTCAGTTAAACAGAAATAATGGTAAGATGTCACACAGTTTATTGGTGTGAATAACCATAGAGTGAGTAAGGTATTTTGATTGTAGACTTATAGATTACACATTCATAAATATGATTATGAACTACTTTTACAGTCAAACTTTGACCAGCGTTTTCTCTTGTACTTTCAGTACTTTGCCTCCACATTTGATCCACTAGTTTTCACTAAACCTCTATGCATATTATTAAGCGTTGAATTCTCTACTTGTATCAGCTTTCTGTCCAGTCAAAAATCAACTAATATATTTTTAAAGACTTAAAATGATCACATCAGATATATTTATTAATTTAGACTTCACTACATGTATACTATTTCTAGTTGTACGTGGTGCACATACCTCCGCATGATCTTCCCAAAATCTTTATGTTGCGAGG